CTGTTGGCGCGCTGCCTACTTTAACGTGTTGTTTCGTTTGAAGTCGCATGCGTTGGCCTCCCCCCCGAAGGGTCGTGCTCAGGCGCCAACGGACGCCAACGGTGGGTGTCAGGACCTCGGTGGGTGAGGTCCTGACACCCACCGTCTGTCTCGAGTGTCCTTAAGGTGGTCGGGACACAGGGCGGGGGGGGGCCACCCAGAAGGCCTGGACCTTGATCCCCAATTAGGCGGGCGCATGAAGAGAGAGGATGCGAAGTGATTGAATCCCACCAGCCCTTTGGGCGTGAGTGGTTTAGATAGCTCTCTCTGTCCTCAACCCCCCTTCTTCCCCTTCGGGGAGGGGTTTACCCCTCCCCCTACCCCCTCCCCCTGGGCCTGGAGAGGGATTCCTGCGGGTCGCCGGGGGGGTCTTTTCCGACTCCTGGGAGGGCTAAAAAACGACGACCCTCACGAGGATTCTGGCCCCGACGGGGGGGCCGAGTTTGGCCCCTCTGCTCTTCTTTGAAGCCAACATCATTGATTTTAGTACGGTTTTGGCCCCATTTTGGCCTTCTGAGGGGGCCGCGCTCATCGTCCTTCCTAGCAAAAACATTGATTTTACGAAGGTTTTGGGCTCATTTTGTCCTTCTCAGGGGGCAGCGCTCATTTGCGCTTCTGAGGAGGTCGCAAGAGGCCCCAAGATGGCCCCAAGAGGCCCCCAGGAGGCTCCCAAGAGGCCTCCAAGAGGCCCCCAAGAGGCCCCCAAGAGCCCCAAGAGGCCCCCAAGAGGCCCCCAAGAGCCCCCAAGAGGCCCAAGAGGCCCCAAGAGGCCCCCAAGAGGCCCCCAGAGGCCCCCAAGAGGCCCCCAAGAGGCCCCAAGAGGCTCCAAGAGGCCCCCAAGAGGCCCCACGAGGAGCCCGAACGACTCACACCAGGACGAGGGGCCCGAACGACTCACACCACGAAGAGCCCGAACGACTCACACCACAACGAGGGGCCCGAACGACTCACACCAGGACGAGGCGCCCGAACGACTCACACCACGAGGAGCCCGAACGACTCACACCACGACGCGGGCCCCGAACGACTCACACCACGAGGAGCCCGAACGAGTCACACCAGGAGGAGGGGCCCGAACGACTACACCAGGATGAGGGGCCCGAACAACTCACACCACGAGAAGCCCGAACGACTCACACCAGGACGAAGAGCCCGAACGACTCACACCACGAAGAGCCCGAACGACTCACACCAGGAAGAAGGGCCCGAACGACTCACACCAGGACGAGAAACCCCAAACGACTCAAATCACGAGGAGCGCTTTCTCTCCCTCCTCCTCCGCCTCGTCCTTCTCCCGCTCCCCCCACAAGGAGGATGTACAAGGAGGCGGGAGGAAGGAGGAACAGGGGAGATATGCGGGGCCAAGCGGACACACGCCTGAAAAATACGACTGTCGGCATGCTTCGCAAGAGTTGCTGCTGTGAGATGGGCTGGTGGGGATAAGCGAAGCGTAAAGAATTAGAGAGAGGGAGAAAGAGAAGTGTGTTGAGGGGCGGGAGGCGTAGGGATGAGAGAAGAGGAAGAGGAGGCGGAGGAGGTGGAGGAGTGGCAGGGGGAGGAGGAGAAAGAGGATGAGGAGGAGCGAGGGGGGGAGCGTTTGCCTGCCTGTATCCTCGGTATGAAGCGTGCCAGGCCTGTATTGTAGTCTCTACACTCTCGGGGGGGTCCGTGGGGCCTACTGGCGGTCTTCGGGGTGCTCTTGGGGCGGAGGCCTCGACATGTGGGCTCGAATTCCTTATCGGGGCCTCTCTTGGGGTCCTCTTGGGGCCGTCTTGGGCGAGCCTGGATGTCTCTTGGTCCGTTTTGGGGACCTCTTGAGCCGTCTTGGGGCTCTCCTGGGAGCCTCTTCGGCCGTCTGGGACGCTGGCCAAATCAAAAAACGAATGTGCAAGAAATGTGAGTTTCCCCATGGGACTATGTTTGCCTCGTCGGCCCCTCTTGGGGGTCCCCTTGGAGCTGTCTTGGTGCGTCTTGGGGGCCCCTTGGGCCGTCTTAACGCCATCTGGGGCCGCTCGGAAGCCACGTCGGCCCGTCTGGGACCCATTCAGGACCTACCGGGGAAGCTCCAGGGGTGGCCGAGGAGGCTCCGGGGGGGGGGCTCCGGGCAGGCCCCGGGGAGGCCCCGGAGGGGCGAGGGTGCACTTCGTGCAGCTGCGGTTGTGGCCCCTGGTGGTCTTCGGCCGCGGGGCCCCCGGTAGTGGGGTCTCCGGCATGGCTGGACGTGTGTGGTGTTGTCCCATGGCTGTCTGGCTGGACGTGTGTGGTGTTGTGAAGCCTCCTACCCTTTCTCACGTCTCTTCGCACGCACCCCGCTACTCCTTCTCCACGTCCATGACAGCCCTTGGACAGGCCACGGCACCACCCTGAGGGGCAAGGGAGCCCCAAGAGAGCTCCAACCATTCTCCGAGACTACCGACGACGGCTCCACTGCGACACAGTACAGCATCGCCAGTTCCAAAGATGATTATAAGTTTAGAAGCCCTCCAGGTGGGTCAAAAAATACTTCGAAACAGCTTTCAACAGGCGCTGCAGGAGGCCGCTACTGGCAGAAAGACCCACGGCAGCAGCGTTCCCTGACGACGCAGGCCCTGGCCTCTGGCACGGCTCTCGGCCACACGCAAGGATGGCCCTAGACAAGAGCGACCTCTGGCGCGCGCCTTTCTAGGGCCGCAGGGGGGCGGGATCCAGATGAGCCTCTGGACACACATGCGAAGGACCAGCGTGCGCTGCCAAAACATGGCCGAACGTTGGAACAGGATCTGGTCACATGTGCATCTAGCTCTCGCCACGGCCGGCCGCGTCACGAATATCTAGCTTCCTGGTCGGTGCGTGCACGTTCTCTCTGACGTCTTGCCTATCCCGCCCACTCTTACCCACTGCGCCAGGTTCTCACGAAGGGGGGTGCACTTTGGAAGGAGAGGTCGCAGATGGCCAGGTAGATGAGCAAGAGGACAATAAGGCAATGAGGAACGAGGAGGGGCAACAGCAACAGGACCAGTAAGAGAAGGAGAGAGATGATAGAATAAAATCAAAAGCCATACACATAAACGTTTGGCGCTCCGCGCGAATTTCTTGGATCTGCCCCTGGCGCGCGGAGCGCGCCAGTGGGGCGGCGCCGGAGGCGCCGCCAGGGGCCCCCTCAGCGCGGATCCAAGTAATCCGCGCGGAGCGCCAAACGTTTCTGTTCTGGCGTTTGATATTTATCAAGATGAGCAGGAGGATCACGGGAAGGCGGAGAGGAGGCGAACAGAGGAGCCCTTTGGTCGGCCGATGGTCCCATCCGCCTGGCGTCCGCTGATATTTTCCCATTGTTTCCAATCTGTTCCTGGGGATCGGCGATTAATGTTACCTGTGTGTGTGTGTGTGTTCCCCTCCTGAGCTATGGATGCTGCTGTTTGGGGGGTCAGGACGTGGTCAGCGTGTCGCGCAAAAGGCGCGAACCAGAGGAGCGACACGCTAAGAAAACGCTCCTGACCTCAGGCCTGGTGCTCCTCAGCACCCTCCTGGTCGCCCTCTCCGCCCGCTCCCCCGCGCCTGCGCCACCAGTCCTCCTCCTGGGGGCCCTGCTTCTCCTTCCTCTCCGCCCTCCATCCCTCCTCCTGCTCTCGATCGTCGAGCGGCTCCTCCACTCCGTCCTCCCGCTCCTCGCAGTCCGTCCCCTTCCCCGCCCTCCTCCCCCGCCCCGCTCTCCTCCTGGCCCCTCCCCCCCCCACCCCGACTGATCCGAGGGAGGATGGCCAGGACCAGGGGGAGGGCGAGGGGACGAGACGGGGGACGACCTATAACGCAAAGGCGACGACGCCGCTGGCGGCGGCGCCGACGGCGACGCCATGGCCTCCATGCTTTCGGGTCATAACTCGGCTCCGCGGCATCAATTTAAGAAGATCCGGGCACTCCCAGACAGCCCTCGGCGATGCGCAGCCGCTGGGGAGCATCCCGAGGCTGGAAAACCGCCGAGAATCCACTAAAACGCCCGCAAACCTCGAACCTCGGATGCCGGCTGCGCCAACGACGCCCCAGAGCCCCGACGCCATGATGTTGCACAACTACATAGACACCTGTCGGGGAGACGCAAAACTCGGGTTCGGGGGACTCGGGTTGGCCCGACAGGGCCGTCAAGAAAATAACGAGACCCAAGCTGAAATTTGACGCGCACTACAGCTGCAACCATCCCACGAAAACTGAACCGTCAACACCCAGGACGGCCCGTGAAGAAGTGTCGGCAGACCCCGAGTGCCGAGAAACTCGATCCTTACGTTTCCCGACCCTGGAGGTATCGACCCATGCTCCGGGGTCAGATGATGGGCCTCTTTTCCACCACCACCACCACCATAAGTTGGAGGGGGAAGGGAGGTGGAGGACGAGGAGGAGGAGAAGGACAAAGAGGAGGATGAGGAGCAGGAGGAGAAGAAGGACGAGGAGGACCCCCTCCCCCTCCACGGAAGGCGCAAGAGGGGCTCCCCGGCAGGAGGCCTCCCAGGGGCGTCGCCGAGGAGGAGCCTCCCCGGGAGCCCCGAGGGGGAGCAGCGGCGAGGTCGGGCCGCAGCCGCTGGAGCGCGCCCTGACAGGTTGGACACCGCCGAGGAGCGGACGCAAGCGTCCGAGCACCTCGAAGTCCGAAACCTCGAAACCCTGCTGTTCCCTCAAGCTGACGGATACGATTAGCAATGAAAAGTAACCCCGGAACCTTTGGGGGGGGGGGGGGGCCTGAGACATCAGGGATAGTTAAGGGGCTCTTTTCTGCGAATGTGTCGAACCAGACTGCCCAGGATCCTTATCCCTGATGCAGAGACGGGGACCTCGGTGAGGCTACGTCTCTTCACCGCGATCTTGAGGCCAGGGCTCCTTTCCTCCTCGACGAGGCTCAGCTCGAGAGCCTCGAGACTTTGCACGCCGGCCGCGCCGACGACGCCGGCGAGCGGCGGCGGCCCGAGCGGGCGTCGGGCAGCGGCGGCGCGGGCCGCAGGTCACGGCTGCAGGCCAGGTCGGGGTACTGCTCGGCCAGGAGGCGCTGCAGCGCCTGCGGCGGCAGGCGCAGCCCGGAGCCCTCCTGCTGCGCGGGCGGCGGGCGGACGCCGACGGCGCCGACGACGACGGCGACGCCGCCGACGACTGCGCCCACGACGACGGCTGCACCGACGACAGAGGCCTCCCAGATGGATGCCACGTATAGATGGGGAGGGAGGAGCGCACCACATCGGCGACGTCGGCGGTGCATCGCCGACGTCGGCGTGGAGAAAATTGGCATCCGCCTCGAGCCGCACCGCCGATGCATCGGCGACGTTGCGCGATCCTCTGACCCGATCTACTCTAACTCTATCTGAGAGGCCTAGCGACAACGGCGACGACGACGGCCCAGACCCCCTGGCATCGCGAAACAAAAAATCACGGCGGGAGTCTCCTACGAGTTCCAGCCTGTGGGCTCAACCCACCTAGTATGAAAAGCCGTTCCTGGTGAGCGTTTTCTTTTTCGGCGTTTCGACATTGCGCGGAAGGGGGGGGGAGGAGTGGGGGTCTGGCTCCAAACCTGTGCTTAACGAGACTGTCTTTTGCAGCAGTGCGTCCTATGAAGGAGAGACCACCTGCTTGAAAAATGCATCCCACACCGCCAAGATCTACTCCACAGCGGGGGTCGGGGAGGGTTGCGAGGGCCCGCGCCGATCGGTAAAATAATTAATAATAATCATGAAGAAAGGGTCGAGACCTCCAGGGCTTCGACGACCGCCCGACGACGCCGGCAACCCATCAGGGTAGGGCGCCGACTTCCTGTTCACGCTCGGCTTCGGGCCACGGGGCCAGCAAATAACATCGATCCGGCTCGAAGAGCGCCGCATCGAGATGGGAACTGTAGGGCGGCTCTAGTCGTGCAAATTTGGCGATGCTGCCACTTTTTCGCAACGTCGGATCTAAGGGGACGCCGACGACGAAGAAAGGGGAGAGGGAAAAAGGCAGGAGGGAGGGAGAAGGGGAGAAACAATGGCGGGCGGAGTTGTGGAAGGCGGCGTCTCGCCTTGCTACGTAGGTACGCCCGGGAACGATCCGAGGAGGTGGACAAGGATATACACTTATGTGTATACGTTTGTATATACGTACATATAGGTATACAGCCATGCGATGTCTATACATATGTATAACTATGTATATGTGTGTTTATATACACACACATAACTATATCCACATATATATATATATGGATATGTGTATAAATATGTAATATATATATATACACATGCACGCATCTACTATAACCATCGCGCGCGCATCGCGCGTGCTCAGTTTCTTGCCCAGTCCAGGGACAGGGGCGCTGGAAGATCTTGGACAGCGCTATCACGCACAGGCGCGTGACATAGTCCCACCCATTCTCACCCACCTCCTCATTTCAGACCTAATCCCCATACCCCTCATCATCATCATCATCATCATCATCATCATCATCATCATCATCATCATCATCATACTCTTCGTCATCATAACAGCCATCGTGATCATAACCACTATTAAAAGCATCAACAACACCATGGGGCACATCCTTGACCCAATGCTGCGAGACATGACAGTACGTCAAGCTCGCGTATCACCATGATCGCCATCCTCATCCTCATCCTCAGTCGTCTCATCATCATCGATCCCGAGAATGCCTGTGGTCAGAAACTGTTGCTTAGCGTGTCGCGTCGGCGACCCCTGCGACACGCCATGCCCTGCAATCGGATAGCGTGTCACTCCACGTCGCTGGGCTGAAGGCTTGAGAAATGCTCGGGACAGCATGGAGAGCACTGTCAGGACGACGTGCCCCTGAACTCTGGCAGTCTGGGGAGCCTTGCAAGGGAATGTAGGGGGCGCCTTGGGGGTCCCTTTGAGCTTCTGAGGGGGGCCTCGTGGGGGGTATCCTGGAGCCTCTTCGGAGCCTCTCCGGGACCTCTTCGGAGCGTCTCCGGGACTTTAGAAGCTTCGTCGCGGGCCCCTGGAGCCCGCCGGCCCAGATACGCCATGATGGACCATCCCCTGCGGCAGCAAGAGGAAAAGGAGAAGAAGCAGCATGGGAGGAGGAGGAGGAGGAGGAGGAGGAGGAGGAGGAGGAGGAGGATCAGCAGGAGGAGGAGGACGAGAAGGAGGGCGAGAAGGAGGCGCAAGAGGAGGCATGGGGGAGTCCATCTTCGAGTCGTTTTGGCGGTCTCTGGAGAGCCTCTGGGCCCGCTGCCCAATAGTGTATCCCCCTTCCTATTGGGGAGAGGGTGGGCGAAGCAAGAATGCAAACTGGGTATTTATTTGTTCGTCCGTTGACAACTCCTCAACGGGAGTTGGGCGCTGCGAGGCCAAAGTGTGAACAGAAAAGTATTGATTCCCCCGTCCTTCGGCCCACGAGTCTTTCCCCTCCTCCACGAGGTTCGGGTGGGCGAGACAATAATGAAAGCATATTGATTTGTCGGCCCTGCTTCTCAATATCCGATCCCTCCTCCGAGGCAAGGCAAGCAATGAACCTTGCATGTTTTATGTGTAGATTGTTCTCCCTACTACCCTATCCCTCCTTTTATGGTTCAGATTGTGGCGGTAGCGGCAAGAATGCAACCTTGCAATTACGCTATCTGTTCGATCAAGTACCGTATCCATCCTCCAGAGAGTGAGGATCGTCATAGAAAAGATAAGCTGATGTCTGAACATGTCCGTCCTTCGACCAGCTACTCCATCCCTCCACCACAGGGCGTGACGAGCTGAAACAATAATGTAAGTGTACATGCGTAATTGTCGCGCCGACCCACTCACTATCCTGTACCTCCTCCACGGGGCTTGGGAGCCGAAACAAACATGGAAACGTGCATTCTTGGCCGTTCCGCCCCCCGAACCGCTGCTCCGTCCCTCCCCAGGCGGGGGGTGGGGGGTAAAGCAAGAATGCAAGACTACATGATGATTTGTTCGTGATATGTATGTATGAATGTATGTATGTGTGTATGTCTGTATCTATGTGTAGCACGCGCGTGGCAACGTGGAAGGGAGGGAGGCATTGAGGAAACGAGAGAAACAGAGAGAGAGAGAGAGAGAGACAGAGAGAGGGAGAGAGAGAGAGAGGGACAGATAGCAAAAGATAGAGCGCAACAATCAAAGGAACCATGCATGTAAAGGAAGAGCGACAGAGAGAGAGAGAGAGAGAGACACATGTACATATATATATGTGTAAAGAGAGAGAGAGAGAGAGAGAGAGAGAGAGAGAGAGACAGAGAGAGAGGTGGGGAGGCGGGCCAATTCAGTGTGCTCAGCGATCCGGGGGGGAACTCCGATAGTAGTGAAATGGCTTCGACGAGCCGTGCCACAACGAGAGCCCCTGTTGCGACGTCGGGTGGCACTGGCGTCTGCTGCAGCTCGTGCGGTCTGCTTGCGTGTTGCCTCTGCCTTCTGGCGTCTGTGCTGCCTGCCTGTTCGCCTGCCTGCTCTTCTGCTCGCGCACGGATGCGCCAACTTCCTGCCTGCCTCAAGCTCCGGGGCCTCGTTGTCTCGAGGGAGCGGAGCAGCGCGACGGCGAGGAGGCACGAGGAAGCAGAAGACGATCGATGATGATCCGACGACGGTGAGGACGAGGGTAAGGCGAGAAATCGTAACCATCATCATCATCATCATAATCATCATCATCATCATCATCATCATCATCATCATCATCATCATCATCGTCATCGTCATCGTCATCGTCATTACCATCATCATCATCATCATCATCATCGTCATCATCATCATCATCATCATCATCATCATCATCATCATCATCATCGTCATCGTCATCGTCATCACCATCATCATCATCATCATCATCATCACCATCACCATCACCATCACCATCACATTCATCATCATCGGTTCCTCATTCTTCGCCCGTTCTCAGAGGAGATAGAGACCGCCGCCACCGAGAGCCCATCGACGCGGGACCAACCCCTGGGCAGTGGGAGAACCGCCCGAGCGTCGTCTGGCACTGGGTGACGCAAGGGCGTGCCACCGACCATGGGTCTGCCCCACCCGATGGGTTCTCGGTGGCGGTGGTCTGTCTCCTCAGAGGGCGGGCGAAGGATGAGGATCCGATGATGATGATGATGCCGATGATGCTGATGATGATTATGATGATGATGCTGATGATGATGATGCTGATGATGCTGATGATGATTATGATGATGATGCTGATGATGATGATGATTATGATGATGATGATGATGATGGTGATGGTGACTGTGATGGTGATGATCATGATGGTGATCGGGTTGCTGGTGGTGATGATAATGATGGTGGTGATGTAATGGATGGTGATGGTGATGACGATACTGATAATTATGCTGATGGTGATGATGCTGATGATGATGGTAATGCTAATGAAGATTAGGATGATGATGATGCTGATGATGATGATGATGACGGTCATGGTGGTGCTGATGAATATAACGACGGTGACGGTGCTGATGATGCTGATGCTGATCCTGATGACGATGCTGTCGATGGTGATGATGATGATGATGATGCTGATGATGATGATGATGATGATGACATTGATGGTGATTGCGATGTTGACGATGGTGATGATGGTGCTGCTGCTGATGATGATGGTAATGATGATGCTGATGATGGGGATGGGGATGAAGGTGTCTAGGATGATAAGGATGAATGTGATGACGATGAGGATTATCATGATTAGGTCCATGGTGATGACGACGAGGACGGTGATGGTGAGAAAGATGAGAATGCCGATAATGACTGGTAATGGAAATTATGAGGATGATGATAAGGAGGATGATGCTAAAGCTGATGATGACGATGATGCTGATACTGATGATGCTGATGGTATTGATTATTACGATGAGGATGATGATGTTTATGCTGATGATGCTGATGATGCCGATGATGATGCTGGTGGTGATGATGATGCTGATGATGATGATGATGCTGATACTCATGATGTTGGTGGTGATGATGATACTGATGATGCTGTGGTGAAAATGATGACGAACGGGGGAAGGGGGGGAAGGGGGAGGAGGAGAAGGAGGAGGAGTAGAAGGAGGGGGAGGAGGAGGGGGAGGCGGAGGAGGAGGGGAGGAGGAGGGGGAGGAGGAGGAGGAGAGGGGAGGAGAGGAGGAGGAGGAAGGAGGAGGAGGAGGATGAGAGGAGGAGAGGAGGAGGAGGAGGGGCAGGTGCTTCCGAAGATGAGCTGGCGGAGTGCCTTGCGGATAGGCGGGAAGTAAAACGTGTGAACCGCTCCAAGGGACTTTCGGAATGCTTTGCTCATGTTCCCGCGGTGAAGATTGCGGGACCTGCTTTCCGCACCCTGGTCCGTATCCCTGCCACCATTGTTGCTCCTCTGGATGTTCCTGTGCAGACTGGGCCAATCCTGCCTCCAGCCCTGCCTCTGCCATGCTCGTACGCTGTGTTTGTGGTTTACAGAGAGAGAGAGAGAGAGAGAGAGAGAGAGAGAGAGAGAGAGACAGCAAGAATGCCATGCGAGTGTTCGCGGAGCAACCATCATAGCGAAAACGACCGTGTGTGGCCCATTGTTCTTGAGTGTGCGACGCCCGACTCCACGGGCTTACTCTCCCCATACACGTTAGCTACTGTTTGTAGATCCATCGAGCAGGGGAAGGTCGCGAGTCTGTATATTGAGTGCACATTGACGAGTTTTGTGCAAGCTTCCCACCCCATGGCTGCGCTCCCCGAGGGCCTCACTCCTGTTCGAACCACCGTGTCCCCGTGGGGGTGTATTCAGACCAGCGACTGTGTGAGGGGGTGGACGGCGAGAGAGAACATTTGGTTGCGATCGTGCACTGAACTTTGGGTGCGGTGCGTGGCCCAGGCCGTTCCTGCCTGCTGGATCCTCCCCGTGTCCCCATCGGTTGACCCTGCTGCCCCTGTCGCGGGAATGCCCCCCGAAGTTGCGGCCCTCCCTAGGCTTCCTGGATGTCGAGGGACCCTGTTGGACACGTGCCCGCCTGTGGATCCTGGCGTCGCCCCCTCGGTGGCCCTCTGGGGGGCTTGGCCTTCTGGCGTGCCCATTCCCCCCCCCACGGGTCCTGGACAGTTCTCTCATGCTGATCCGATGCGTTGCCTCAACCATCGTCTCCGCCTCTCTTGCTTTCGTGAAAGAGCGGGTGGGAACACGGCACCGTCGGCGAGTTCAAAGCCGCTTGGGGACACGGTGGGCTTTGTTGCTAGTCTCTGCAGTTCGGCTAGCATGCGACTGCGCAACTTCTCTATCACACCTAACATGCGGGGGTGCGAGGAAGGGGCAGTGCGCAATGAAGAGGGGGAGGGGGCCGCCCCTGACTGGGTTTCCGACCGCAATGCGGCGGGAGCTTGCACGATACGGGTTGAAAGTGCCCCCGTTTTTCGGCAGAGCGCCTGCCCCTCAAGTGCACAGCCACTGCATGAGGCCCCGTATCTGGTGACGGGAGGCGTCCGATGGGGGGACGGGATTGTGTTCACCCACGACCAAGATATCCAGAAGGCGCATCTGGACGCTTGCTGGGGAGTGGAGGCCGCCTGGGGAATGGTGTCGGGTATGACCCCTGGCCCGACCCCCTCGCCGACAGGACCACCTTGTCCTGGAGTGGCAGTCGGGCACTCTGAAGGGGACTCGCTGGCTGTCCCCGCGTTGGGGTCGCCCTGACCCCCCCTCCTCCTGCATGAATTCGGAATTCTGTGCGTGACTTTCACCTTTTAATCCTCTGGCACGGGCTCAAACTTTTAAGCCCCAAGGAGCGAGCGAGCGAGCGAGCGAGGAGGAGGGGGAGGAGGAGGAGGAGGAGGAGGAGGAGGAGGAGGAGGAGGAGGAGAAGGAGGAGGAGGAGGAGAGGGCGGAGAGGAGCAGGAGGAGGAGGAGGACGACGAGAGGGACAAGGGCGCGGCACGCGCTTGGGGGGAGGGCCCCTCTCCTCGTCCACGGCCGTGGCACGGAAGCGGGCCATCAGGTCCTGGGCGCAGCCGCCCCCCCCACCCCCCGGTTGTAGGACGAGAAATCTGTGGAATCCTAGAGATCTTGGGACGCATCAGTATCATTACCTCTTGCTCCCCTGAGATCCGACGTTGCGAACAAAAATGCAGCATCGCGAGAAATCGTGGCCGGCACTGCACTTGTCGAGCTGGATCGATCTGTGATGGTCCCGTGGTCCGAAGCCGAGCGAAACCTCTACGCCAGGATCTCAGGGTCCTCTGAGGTTGGGCGCCTGCCAGGCCGAACCGATGCCAGCTGCAACGTGATGACGGCGCGCACCGACGCATTGCGAGTGAAACCGGGCGGAATAGTCACTCAGAGATCCAACGTATTGAAAAAAGAAGACTGAGGTGTCTCGCCCTTTTCGGTATATAGAGGCCCTCGGACGGCCGCGGGACCGTCAAAAAACGGCTCGGGATGAGAAGCTGGTCCCTGGGAGTGGGCCGGTCCTTCTGGGACCCTTTTTCAAAAAAAATCGAAGCTGCCGAATGCACCCAGAAAAAGAACACACACACACCGATCAGCAACGCCGACGGGGGACTGCACCAGCACACCGGCAATGCCAATGCCGAGTTCACCAGCGCAGGATCCCTCAATCGACTTGCCCGGGCGGGCGTCGTCGTGATGTCAGGAGGCAGATGCCGGAAGGTCTTCGCAAGAACGATTCAGCTCAGGACGATCGAGCAATACTAAACAGCCATTGCGCAGGATTGGCCCAGATGAAAGATGAAGCCGGATCGAACGGGACCGAGCGGGTTTGGGCGAGATTATGGAGGGTCAAGACGTCAAGACGGTGTTCGGCCACGGGAATGCCAGCTCCGCTGCAGAGCTTCACCTCCCAGAAGCTGTCCCCCACTCAGTGCCCGCCAGTGGGCGGCGGCAGGGGGGCCTGCGCGGGAGGGGCCCCGAGCAGCACCCGGGAGGTCCAAAAGGGCGGACAGAGCCACCACCCTCCCCTCCATCACAAGAGGAAGAAAAAACAGCACCAGCATAGACTTTCGACGGTCCGCGCGGACTTCTTGGATCTGCGCCGGACCCCCCTCCCTGGCGCGCGGAGCGCGCCAGGGGCGGCGCCGGAGACACCGCCAGGGGGCCCCAGCGCGGATCCAAGAAATCCGCGCGGAGCGCGAAGACTTTCTCTTCATGCCGTTTCTGCTTCCTCGATTCTCTTGGTCGGAACCAGTGTTGGGCCACCTTCAGACCCCCAGCTGGCTCCGACCTTGAAGTACCATGTAGGACCTGCTCTAGAACAGGAACATACCGTAGACGGATCTACCCTTTCTCTGACCTTGCACTGCGCCGAACGCAACGGCCGCGTTGTCCATCGACGTATCCACCCCAAAAATATCGATAGACGTCACGGCACCGAATGTGTCCATAGACGATTTGGGCTAGAATGTGAGAATGGTATTTACCTAACCGCGAAGACTGATAGGTTTCTAATGGTCTCAAAAGAAAGCATCTTGACTCCTCAGGGGGGTCTGGGCAGATGCCGGACGGGTGCCGGGGAGAATCCGCGGAAGTCGCTTTAAGCAAACAGTTACACACTTCGTGGTCTTCGAGGTCCCAAAACTCCATTCCTGGGCATGCTTTTGAATGCCCGGAGCCAACTGTAGGCCACTTCGTGGTCTTCGAGGTCCCAGAACTCCATTGCTGGGCATGATTTTGAATGCTCGGAGCCAACTGTAGGCCACTTCGTGGTCTTCGAGCTCCCAGAATTTAATTCCTGGGCATGATTTTGAATGTCCGGAGCCAACTGTAGGCCACTTCGTGCTCTTCGAATTCCCAGAACTCCATTGCTGGGCATGACTTTGAATGCCCGGAGCCAACTGTAGGCCACTTCGTAGTCTTCGAGTTCCCAGAACTCCACTCCTGGGCATGATTTTGAATGGCCGGAGCCAACTGTAGGCCACTTCGTGCTCTTCGAGTTCCCAGAACTCCATTCCTGGGCATGATTTTGAATGCCCGGAGCCAACTGCAGGCCACTTCGTGTTCTTCGAGTTCCCAGAACTCCATTCCCGGGCCACATTTTGAATGCTGAGGCAGGCTGAGGCTGAGGCTGAGGCAGGCTGAGGCTGAGGCAGGCTGAGGCTGAGGCCGAGGCTGAAGGCAGACTGAGGCTGAGGCTGAAGCAGGCTGAGGCTGAGGCTGAGGCAGGCTGAGGCTGAGGCTGAGGCTGATGCTGAGGCTGAGAGGCAGGCTGAGGCTGAGGCTGATGAGGCTGAGGCTGAGGCTGAGGCTGAGGCTGAGGAGGCTGAGGGCTGAGGCTGAGGCTGAGGCTGAAGGCTGAGGCAGACTGAGGCTGAGGCTGAAGCAGGCTGAGGCTGAGGCTGAGGCAGGCTGAGGCTGAGGCAGGCTGAGGCTGAGGCTGAGGCTGAGGCTGAGGCTGAGGCAGGCTGAGGCTGAGGCAGGCTGAGGCTGAGGCCGAGGCTGAAGGCAGACTGAGGCTGAGGCTGAAGCAGGCTGAGGCTGAGGCTGAGGCAGGCTGAGGCTGAGGCTGAGGCAGGCTGATGCTGAGGCAGGCTGAGGCTGAGGCTGAGGCTGATGGGCTGAGGCTGAGGCAGGCTGAGGCTGAGGCCGAGGCTGAAGGCAGACTGAGGCTGAGGCTGAAGCAGGCTGAGGCTGAGGCTGAGGCAGGCTGAGGCTGAGGCTGAGGCAGGCTGATGCTGAGGCAGGCTGAGGCTGAGGCTGAGGCTGATGCAGGCTGAGGCTGAGGCAGGCTGAGGCTGAGGCTGAGGCTGATGCAGGCTGAGGCTGAGGCAGGCTGAGGCTGAGGCCGAGGCTGAAGGCAGACTGAGGCTGAGGCTGAAGCAGGCTGAGGCTGAGGCTGAGGCAGGCTGAGGCTGAGGCTGAGGCAGGCTGATGCTGAGGCAGGCTGAGGCTGAGGCTGTGACTGCGACTGCCGTTGCCACTGCGACTGTCATCGCGAATGCGACTGCGACTGCGAGAACAGCAGAATTCTACAACTGGATTCTCATCTGAATCTTAAGGGGAATGCTTCCAGATATGCTCATACACATCGCTGTTAGGTTGCTTTGCCGGGATAATTAGCATCGGCCCCAGAGATTGGTCTTCCAGAAGCAGTTGGACTTGGCCCTCCAACTCCAACCCGACAGCTGCCTCGGAGAGCGCGTCCCCAGGAGGCCTCCGCGGAGGGTCTCCGCAGAGGCGGAGTGGGCCACGGGGATGGCCAGCAGGGCGCGAGCCCCCGAGGATGCCGAGCCTCGGGCGCAGAGGCGTGGGTCGGGCGTGCCCTCTCTGACAGGCGGACTCTGGAAGCCACGCAGGATAGCTCTGGCCGCGCATCGAAAAAGTGCCATGCGCCACAAAGCGAAGGCGGAGCTCAGCCCGCAGGACAGAATCCGTGTTAAGGGCTGGGTGGGCAAGGCCAACTCTGAACCGCTACGCTAGGTACGTGCACTCGTGCATGCCAATCGTCGGCAATACATTGTTCTAGGGCACCGATCTAAATATAGTCAAGAGATGCCCCAAAATGGTCAAGCGAACACGAAGAATCGTCGCCAGCCCACTCTTGCACTATTCCTGAACAGTCCTCCCGGAGAGGGACGTACCCGCTTTATAAGCACAGCCCCCAGCACCCCGCTCAGCCCAGAGTGTCGAGCCCTGGCCCTCCAGGAGGCCTGAGCGACAACACCAGCTCGAGGTCCGAGGTTCCAAGTTCTCGGACGTTGCTGATGGTTCCGGGCGGCTGTCCAGACCCGGGGTGCCCTCCAGCGGCAGCGCCTGGCCGAGGGCGTCCCAGGGCTGCCCAGATCGTCACGCACCGTGCCGGAGGCCCGAGCCATACCGCCGAGACCGGGCGAGCTTCGGGCTGCGCACTCGGGCAGAGCCCCCGGGCCACTGTTAGAGGAAGAAGAACTATGCACATACACCGATTCTGGCCAGGCCCATCCTGAGCCCAGGATCGGTGCATACGCCCTCCCACCTTGGCCAGGAAGGCATATGCACCGATCCTGGGTCAAGGATGGGCCCTGCCAGGATCGGTGCACGTGCACAGTTCTCTTCGCCCGAACTATTCCCGGCTGGCCTCCCCGGGCTCCGCCCGCAGTCCCGGCTGACCTCACGAGGTCCCCCGAGCAGTCTGCGGTCTCCACACCTCGGCGCCCGCCTCTGGCGGCGCCCCCGGGGGCGCTCCTCGCCCCAGGGCCGGGGTGCCGAGATCGCCCGGGACATCCCCGGGGGAAGTGTGGAGGCCTCGAGTTTTCCAGCTGGGGGGGGGGGGGGGGCAACTTGTGGCCGCCAGCCCTCGGGATGGCAGGGACGACGACGACAAAGACAGCGGCGGCGGCCGCGCCCAAGAGTCCGGCGGAGGCGGAGGGCGGAGGCTGCTTTTCCATGCCTGCTGGCGTCTGCTGGGGATTTCTGCCCCCCCTCCCTCTGGAAGGCGGATCGAGTGGCGGTGGAGCCGCGAGCACCCGGCCCGTTCGCCACCTGAGGTCGCGAGCTGTTGCTTGGCGTGTCGCGGCGGCGGCGGCCCCACTGGCATGCTATGCCCTGCAAGCTGATGGCGTGCCGCTCTCCGTTCCGCGGGGCGGGCGCCTCGGAAGAATCTCGAGGCGGGCTGATGTCTGGGGCCAGGGGCATGGTCACCCATCGGTCGGAGGAAGTAGGTAAAAAACATGAAGTAGGAAGGCGTTGAAAATGTATTGGCTGTCCGCCCGCCCCCTAAAGGGGACGGAAAGGGTGAAGCCACTCGATCATTGAAGTAGGAAGGCGCTTAAGGTAGGTTGGAATCTGGGACTCCAGAAATACCTATTTTCAACGACCGATGGGCAGCGAGTCTCGCCAAAGCATGGCGGGTTCGAAGCGGCGACGCGACACGCGAAACAAACGTTCCTGGCAGTACGTACAATGCGCTTCCACTCGGACCCCTGGCACCCCCAAGGAGCCGCTTCTCGCCAAACTCAGCTGCTCGAAGACACGGAACCAATCATCATCGCATCGGGAAAAATTCGATCGAACCGGAATGTGCGCCGCATCGGGCCGCATCGGCCCAGAGTGGAAACGCATCGAACCTTACCAGCCTGGAACATATCCCTATCCCTATGCTGGGCACCTCCTCATCACGATGCCAATCTTAGGGATTCCCTTATTGTTTGAGGGCGAATCCCTAAGATTGTCATCGCCTTTTGGCGTGTCAACCTTAGGGATAGGGATACGTTCGAGGCTGGTAAGAACCGGATCGGCTGCGCCAGGATGCGCACCGTCGCCCCTGCGACCATGGGGCCGCATCGGAGTCGTCAGTCTGACAGGGCCAAGCCCGACCGAGGCGACCCGAAGCGATAGATCTCGTCGGATAGCTGGGCTCGAGGTGGACCCCGAGGGGCCCCCCGCCTCTGAGACTGCACCGGCGGACTCCGAGCAAGCCTCTGGGTGCGCGTCGTCCGACGCCGCGAGGTCTCCTCACGGTCCAAGGCCCACGGAGCGTGGGCCGCCTGCCGCAGGACCCCGGGTCCCGAGAGAGGGGCCCCGGCAGGCCGATCGCTTGTCGTGACCGATCGGTCACTGGGAGGAGACGTGGCTACAGAAGCAGAAGCTCCTGGAGGTCCACGTCAAGTTCTGGGACGGGCGACGAGATACAGTCGACCCGTCTCATAAGCACGGACGGTAAGGATGCAAGGGCCTTGGAAGGCCGTTTCGAAGCTTCTCGAGCGAGGCGCGGCCAACGGAAATGGCCAAGGATGGACCGAGGAGGCGAGGATGCAAGGGTACCGTTGGGAACATTGCCCATCCCTACTGTGCGGGTTGGCTGCACATCAGCAGAAGCCGTCGGAGGTCCGCGCGAATCTCTCGGATCGGCGCCGAGACATCCCTCCTTGGCGCGCGGAGCGTGCTGCCAGGGCGGCCCAGCGCGCTGCCAGGTCCAAGAGATCCGCGCGGACGTCCCGAAGTCTTTTGCTCATCGGCTCACGACGCCGGAGGTCATTATCCTCTTCCTGCTGCTGCTGCTGATCCTTTTTCTTAGACGTGCTGTCGGGGCGTCGTGGCCCGTACGGGGTTCCACCAAAGGGGGGGTGACCCTAATTAAGGGGGGGCACGAACTCGATCCGCTGGTGCACCGAGCTGCCGAAAACAGGTGCCCCCGCATGCCCCACCTGTCGGCAACTGTCGGAAGCTGCCTGCGGCTGGGAAGCATCTGTCTGTTTTGGGGGTTCGGTGCAAAAATCGATCGAATTGTTTCTCTCTCTCTCTCACACACACCCGGACACACCCGGACACACACACACACACACACACAAACACGCACACACACACACACACACCCTTTGCGGGATCCCGACCGCAGCGTCAGCTGCTGCTGCTGCTCCTCCTCCTCCTCCTCCTCCTCCTCCTGCGGAGCCAGCTCCCGGGCCTGTCCCAGGGGTGCACCCTGGCGCCGACGACGAGGCCCCCAGGACAGGAGCGGGCAAGGGGCGGCGATCCTCCTCGACATCCCCCCTCCTCCCTCCTCCTCCTCCACCTCGCAGTTCCTCCTCCCTCCTCCCTCCTCCCTCCCTCCCTCCTCCTCAAAGAACCTCCCTCCTCCCTCCTCCCTCCCTCCCTCCTCCCTCATCCCTCCTCCCTTCCTCCTCCCCCCTCCTCCGAATTCCTTCCTCTTCATCCCTCCTTCACACCCACCTCGAAGATCCTCAAGGCAAGAACTGGATCGAATCGCGAAATCAGATCGGATCGGAAACCGATCGGACCGCCAGCGCATCGATCCAAATCGAATCGACATTGAATCGCCGCGCCGGGCTCTGGCTGGACCTGGCCGCTGCCGGTGAATCGAACCGAACCGAATCGAACCGGAATCGTGGCACCAGCCGGCGACCCGAAGAGCATGGAAACGGATCGTAGGCTGGCCTGCCTCTACCTCCTCCTCCTCCTCCTCCACGTGGAATAAGCCGGATTAAGCTGGATTTCGGACCAGGGCAAAGTCAGAATTCGACCTCCCAGGAGTTGCATCCGAAGACACAAGGAATCTCTCAGAAGGCGCGGGAGGTTCCGAGAAGCCCCGCCGCCTTCTGAGAAGGCCTACTCCTTCTCGCTTCCCCCCCTCGCTCGCCGCCGACTCACAGTAGACTCTGCGGCCAGATGCGGCAGAGTCCTGGTTTGCAAGGGTCCTGGTCCCCAGGGCCCCGAAAACCTGCTTGCATCTGTCCCAGGACGCCTCAGCGGGGTCCGCCCCGGCTGGATTTCCGAGACGCGTGAAGGAAGCGGGTCCCGAGGGAAAAGGCTCCTGCATGTACAGTCGGGGCGTTGGCCTAAGGAACTCTACAAAAGGAACGAGGCACCTTGTTCCATAAGTTGAACTTCGACTCCCCCCTTCGGACACTCAAGGGAACCCTGAGGCAAACTGTAAAACTGAGAAGGAACACTGAGCCCATCCCAAACGAAAAGGGCACCTGGGCTCCCTCTGCAGCGCCCCGACTGGTATGCTCGCCGTCTGAAGAGCCAGTGGGGTCCTCCGCGGGCCCTGGGACAAGCAACACATTGACTCGGGAGGAGCTGGTCCCGAGAAAGGCCCCGGGATCTAGGCCCCGTTTCCGCCAGGAACCCCGTGTCCTTCCTGGCGGGATCCACTTCCTGCTGCGCCAGTCCACATGCCCTTCATGTCCCCTCTCCTTCAGATCTTCCCATTGCCCTTTCACTCAAACGTCATTACGTTCCGAGCGTCATGCTCCGCCTGAACCTGCTCATTGTCCATCCTCGTCCTCGTCCTCGTCCCACTTGCCATCCTCTTCTTCCTCATCCTCCTCATACTACTCATGCGCTGTTCATCATCCCCCGTTCCCCCTCCCCCTTCCATCCATCTCCATTCCTCTGCTCATCCCTCCCTCCCTACTCCTCCCTCCCTCATCCCCCTCGTCTCTCCTTGCACCTAGCGTCTCCGTCCACGTCACTCTTGCTCCTCTAAGCTTACATGTCCAAGCCACCCAACAGTGTCTGTCCTCAACCCTCGCTCCCTCTTCTAATCCCTCGTTCTCTTCTCCCTCTTCCCTCTCCTTCTTCTGCTCCTGCTCCTCCTGATCATCCTCCTTCTTCTCCAACACCTCCTTCTCCTCCTCGTGCTCCTCGTTTCTGCCCCTCCACTTCGACGAATCGAATGGTTTCTCATCATCTTCGCATCCTCGTCACGAATCAGCTCGTGTATTCCTCCCGCCTCTTCCGGTCGTCCTCCGCCACCCCTCTCTCCCCCGCGTCCTGCTCGCCCATCTGCCCGTCCCTCTGCTCCCGCTCCACCATCCTCCACCATCCCCCTCTCCCTATTCCCCCCAGTCCTCCTCCGACTCCACCTTCTCATCCTCCTCCTCCACCGTCCCCCCTCCTTCTTGCCCTCCTTCTCCTTTTCCTCCTCCTCCTCCTCCTCCTCCTCCTCGTCCTCCTCCTCCTCCTCCTCTTCCTTCTCCTCCTCATCCCCCTCTCGCCCTCCATCTCGACCTCCGTCTCCTCCACTCCACCTTTCTTCTCCTCCTCCTCCTCCTCCTCCTCCTCGTAATTGCCCACTCCTCCGCATACTCATCCACCTCCTCCGCCTCCTCCTCCGCCTCCTTCTCCTCCTACTCATCGCACGGGTGCGCCAGCCTGCGTCTCCCGCTCGCCGAACCCGCACCGCGCCTTGCGGAGATCCCTGTCGTGCTCGCGCCAGCGGTTGGTCGCGGATATGAAGCCGAAGATGCCGACCGCACCTTTCGGGCGGACACCACCCATAACCCCCACCCCAGCGTCGCTGTGAAAACTCACGACGGACGATTTGTTGGCCATTGTCAGGCTGCTGAGGCCCCCACGGGGCCCTGCAGGACCGTCAAACACACAGTCCAGGATGAGAGACCAGCCCCGGGGAAGGGGTCGCGACCGCAGGGGTCCCACGTTGTGCACAAATCCGCCGCCATGCGCCCTGGCACGATGAGGCGTAGTGTACAGTCGGGGCGTTGGCCTAAGGAACCCTAAATAAGGAACGAGGCTCCTTTTTCCCATAAGTTCAGCCTCGATATCCTATGGAAAACCTCAGGAAAACCCGAGGCAAATTTTGAAACAATTAAGGAACACCGAGCCCCTCCCCAACGAACAGGGTTCCTTCTTCAGGGCCCCGACTGTAATGCCAACTCCTGCCTGGTGGGATTTCTGTAAGTCTTCTGAGGCACCCAGCACCCACTCACACTTCACTTCACTGCATGCCCCTTCCTCCCCCCCCCCTCCCGAGGCTCACTGGGCGGCCCGTCGTCTCTCTAGGACTCTCCCAGGCTCCCCAAGGTATCCAAGACGGCCCAGGAAGGCCACCAAGGCTGCTAAGATTGCCCCACAATGCTTCAAGAGGCAGCCAGTAGCCGCGCAGAAGCGCCCAATCTGTCCCAAGATGCCCCCAGAGGCTCCAAGCCACCCAGACGTCCTCCAGGAGGGCCTCGAGAGGCCAAGCACATTGACGTTTCCCTGTCTTACGCCTTCCACGCTCTTCGATCGAATGTTCCTCCGCTTCACGCAGGGCCTCCCAAGACTGCCCCACATAAGCCCAAGACAGCCGCAAGACGGCCCAAGCTGACCGCCCCCGTTCACGCGTTTGACTGCGCCCCGGGCCCTCGCCGTCCTCGTCCTCGCAGACGTCCTTGCCGTCCTCGTCGTCGTCCTCGTCATCCTGGCGGCGCGCACAACGGGGTGGGTGAGGGGGGAGGGGAAAGGCTTCTTAGAAGCAGGGGTGCTTCTGAGAAGCCTTCCCCCCTCCCCCTACCCCCATCTGCGCATGGCCGATCGTCGTCCTCGTCATTGTTGCCGCCGTCGCTCACGACGGCGCCGCCATCGGTTTCGCCCTTTGCGTCTGGGGCCTTCTTGAGCCTGCAGCAGCCCCCGCGCCGCCTGGCCCAGGTCCTCCGCGTCGGCGATCTCCTCGAAGCCTTGCAGCGCCCACGACGCCCCGCACACCTGGGGGGGGAGGTTGGCGGGCAACTCCTGGGAGGTCTTCGTGAGATCGACCACAGTCAAGAACTTCTGCATAGCGCGTCACGGCGGCGGCCCTGGAGACACGCGATGCCTGGCAAGCGAACTGCATGTCGCTACACTCCGCGGTGCGGGAGGCTGGGACAAACTAGAGACGCCGGCGCTTGGGAACTGGGACATGGATAGCGTGTCGCGCTGGGGCATGGTGGGTCAGAACCGGTTGCGCGACACGGCTAAGCCAAAGTTGCTTACCGTATGGGCTTCACTTTAAACTGATAGTAAGGATGCGCGATAAGGATGCAAGGGCCTTGGACGCCCATGTCGAAGCTTTTCGAGCAAGGCTGGCCATCGAAAGTGGTCAAGGATGGAACAAAGATGCAAGAATGAACTACCCTTGGGAAGTCGATCGTCCTTACTGTCAATCTGGACTCTGGACTGTATTAAGCCCGATTCAGGGGGCCATTGAGCCGGATTAGCTTCAGCTCCGCCTGGAGCTATGCAGGATTGATCCGGGCTGGGCAGGACTAAGCAGAACCGAACGGAACTATGCCAGATTCGGCCAGTCGCCGACCACGGATACACCATCGCCGATGCTGAATGACAACTCCCAGGAACTGCGTCCAAACCTCGAGGGGAAGGGGCTGGGCGGAGCGCCGACTGCCCCCGCCACGCGCAGTGGGGCTGCGCAAACCGAAGCCCGACCGAGCAGACATCGAGGCCGAAATCGACCAGGACCGGCCTCCAACTGGCAGCCCTGGAGAGGCGCGGCGGCCCGGCACCCGACCGAGACGAGTCGCAGAGGCCCATTGGGCTGACTGCTCTTCGGCCTCGGCCTCCGGCAAAAGTCTCGGAGAGCACGACGTCGTCGTGTTTTTTTGTTCCGCGGCGTGGTGCCTCAGGGGCCTGGGCCCGCCCCGGGGACCGCCGTCTCCTCCCGGGCTCGTTGGATGGACGGCCCCAGGGCTCGGGCAGGGGGCCCCGAGAAGCCGAAAGAACAATCGCATCATGTTCGCCGTGACGACGTCGAGGGAGGTAGCCTGAACATAAGCATCATCCTGCTCCTGTCGCTGCGGCCAGACGTCCACATTCACATTTTCTGCCTGTGCGAGTGGCGCCACCGCAGCCTTCGAGCGCAGGGCGAAACAGAGAGGCATCTTGCACTGACGATCGCGGCTTTGCCGATCCTGCCCCCGAAAACAGGGCTGAGCCAGGGACGGAGAGGTGGGAGGCGAAGCTATGGAACAGAAACGGCCATGGACGCTCACGATCGCCAGACGATAGACGCGCAAGCATAAACATCATCCTGCTCCTGTCGCTGCGGCCAGACGTCCACATTCACATTTTCTGCCTGCGCGAGTGGCGCCACCGCAGCCTTCGAGCGCAGGACGAAACAGAGAGGCATCTTGCACTGACGATCGCGGCTTTGCCGATCCTGCCCCTGAAAACAGGGCTGAGCCAGAAAGGGAAAGGTGGGGGGCGAAACTATGGAACAGAAACGGCCATGGACGCTCACGATCGCCAGGCGATAGACGCGCAAGCACAAACATCATCCTGCTCCTGTCGCTGCGGCCAGACGTCCACATTCACATTTTCTGACTGCGCGAGTGGCGTCACCGCAGCCTTCGAACGCAGGACGCAAAATAACGATTCCAAGGAGTTCAACTGGCCCCCTTGGGCCGTCGATCAATCAGAACGAACGTTTAAAATCCTGTGGGTTAAAATCTGACAAACCTTAAACGCGAGGGCCTGCCGGAAACATTTCACGATGGCCCTACATAAAGGTCTTGGGTCTGGTTCCGCTATCGTAGTCATAAACTGCAGAGGCTCTTTTGGAGAAATCCTACACTTACCAGTTAACTCTACATGTGGGCGATTCGAGCGCGCACACATCCCTTTGGACGACGAACACAAACCTCTGAGCGGAGAGAGATCAACCCACAAGGAGACCAGTCGGGTTCTCTTGCTCCAGGGGACCCCATAGAGGCAGAAATCAACAACAGTCTGACGAGCATTGGCATGATTCAGGATACGTGCAATGAGGGGCGCTGACCACACACGTGACGAGTGTGGGTTCTCAAGCACCACGGGAATGCGAAGGCGCATGCAAAGCTGCAGAATACTAGCGCATAAATACATGAGACGATTTCCTATGATGACCTTACGCGCATCGGCTGGCGTGAGATCTGGAAGGCCCATGGTGCATTCCTTGCTGCGCAGTGCGGCTGGCCCTGTCGCGCCTCCTCGGCGCGCCATGGACTTGGAGGAGCACAACATGCCCATCCACACGGCGCAGACATGGCCGCCACGCAGCCAGCCTCTGATCAACTTCTGGTTGCACGGGCGGGTCAGGTCGCACTCTTCCCCATGCGCCAGATCCCACTCAAAAGTTGGGGTGTCCTTCAGCCCCGAGTCACGCCCCCAGGCCTGCGACCACCGCCCCGTCCCGCTGAGTAGCTCAAGGGCGACTTGCCCCCGTGGGGCACGGGCGGCAGCGGCAGGCAGGCCCCGCCGAGGAGCTGTCCAGCTCGGCGGCGGCAGGCCTTGGCGCGCTCGAGACCGGCCTTAGAGAGCCGCCCCAGCACTTGGTTGAGCCTGCCGCCCTTCTCGTACCGGCGCAGCGACTTCACGCTGGCCCAACGCCCGCGGCGAAGTATACCCCTTGCAGGTCCCTCTGTCCGCTGGCGATCTCGTGCGAGGCCCCCTCGTGCCGACGCTGGTACAGGTGGTTGATGCCGATCTCCTCCAGGTTGAGCAGCTTCACCGCTGCGCTGAAGTGCTTCGCCAGCTCCGTGCACTCGAAGGGGAACAGGCGCGGCCCCGCGCCCCGCCGCAGCAGCCGCAGCCCGGGCACCAGGTCGCTGTACTCCGAGTTGTCCAGCACGAGCGCCTCGTCGTACAGCCCCGCCTTTGAAGGCTGCGTCCCCTCCGCTGGGTGAAGCACCACGCTCCGGCGCGCGTGCCCCGCGCCCGCGCCCGTCAAGGGCGCCGCCAGGTCCTGCGCCCGCATCTTGATCACGTCCACGGGCCTCAGGCACAGCGCGTACATCAGCGCGATGCACGTGCACATCTCCCACGGGCTTCCTGGAAACAGCATGGCATTCAGGATCCTGTGCGCGATGATGAGCGGCGTCGGCAGCCTCGTCCTGGCGGGCGATCTTGCTGAAGCCCGCCTGGGCCCGCGTGGCCCGCTTCAGATCCACGCCCGCTCGCCCCAGCTGCCAGTAGAACGCCGCGGCGGCCCTCAGCTTGCTGAAGTCCCCCGCCGTGGCGCCCTCGAAATACATCGCGTCGCCCCGCATCACTACCGCCTCGACCTTCTTGGCCAGCGTCTCGAGCGGCAGCCGGCGGGCCGCCGCCCAAGCCGGGAACTCCGCCATCATCCTCTCGCACAGCTTCCCCTGCGTCTCCGCCGCCGACCTCGACTCGAGGAAGGTCCGTCCCAGGCTCCAGCTCTCCGCGGCCTCCGACAGCTTCCCGCGCCCGGCCGCAGCGCGACCCCCGCGCCGCGACGCCTCCGCCTGCAGCGCCCGGGTGGGCGCGCTGGCGGCCCTCCTGCGCTTCGCAGCGGTCGTGCCCTCGGTCCCGGCGCGAGCCAACATGCCCGTCCTCCCACGCTTCAGGGAGGTCGTGCCCTGGGCCTCGCGGCGGGACAGCTGGCCCGTCACAGCCGCCAGGATCCCTGCGCCGCGGCTCTGCGCGTGGTTCCGCGACAGCATCGCCGCGGCTGGGGGCGACCAGGCGGGCCCCCAGGAAAGCCTGATGAAGTTCGGGCCCAGGAGGCTGAAAGATACGGGAGGGCTCGTCAGCAGGATTGTCCTCGGACATCACCCAACGGACGGAAGCCGACGCGCCTGCCGCTAGGCAGTTAGCTCCCTCCTGTCTGCACACGCGATTCATCCCCGTGACGGAGGCCCTCGCCTTGCTCATCATCAACGCCACCGACATCGCATCGACGACGAAGAGAACACGACGACCGTGATTGTGAAGCCGACGGAGCTGATGTTTCAGCGCCCACAGGACGCTACGTGCTTCAAGCGTAGGCGTGGACTCGCGCTGCCGCCAGCGGGCAGCGCTGACCGTGCGCCAGGAGCCCCTCGTCAACTCGGTTGGCACCTCGTCGAAGTCGCTCTCCACCGAGGGCCTCCCAGGCTGTTGCTCCTGGACCATGTCCGTCAGGTGGCCCCCGTCGGGCCGACACCGAGCGTGAAGCCGAGCCTGGGCACTGAGCTCGCCGTGTCTGCTGAAGCGCCACTTCTCGTTCACCCGCCCGGCGCGCCGAAACAGCGCCTTGGACCTCTCGCCCTCGACCGCGCCACGGCCCCAAGGCGAGGCGTCCGACGCCATCGCGGTCGCGCCCCATTCAGCGGCCAGGTCGCGCCGCGCGAGCGGCGGCAGGGTCACTGCCCACCACAGCTCGCGCCGCACTGCAGGCCAGAGTACAGCGCGCTCTCACGATGGGCATGAATGAGCCCGTACACGGCCCCGAAGCAGGACATCATCCCCCTCCGCATCAGAGCCGCGAAGGCGAAGAGCCCCACCGCGACCTCGACCTGCCAGCCGAAGACGCGGGGCCGTCGAAGCAGTTCTTGAACTCCGAGTCGTAGTCGCCAGACTCTGACAGGATTGAAAGCGACGGTCGCCTCCTCCTCGTCAAAGTGCCAGCCCAAGCACGCGCCTCCCACGCTGGCCTCCACGCCGTGCGTCGGGAGCCCCAACGCCTTCACCCCCGCGTCCACAGCGACCGCAGCGGCCTCCGCCCGCGCGAACTCCTGCGAGCACGCCGCGAAGTTGTCCACGCACTGCGCGTGCGCCACCGGCGCGAGGGGCGGCGGCGGGCGGCCGTCGGCCATCCGCAGCGAGTCGGGCAGCCCCGGCACCTGCCGCACGATCTCCTCGTGCACGCTCTGGCAGACGCCCAGCGCCAGCGACCAGCCAATCGGCGCCGCCGCGAAGCACGACACCACGACATCGTTGACGCCGACGGG